TGTTGGTTTGTTCTTAGAGCTATCATAAAAATAAAAAATCTGGGATAACCTCATCCAGGTATGGGTATGATGCATTTGTTGGAGATTTTGGAGTATTTGGTTCTGACCCAAGGCATCATTCACATTTTTGTAGTTCATGAAACAATTATTGTGTTGCTATGTTGTTTGTTTTTTTTTCCCCCCCATTTGATTTGATGAAGGATGGGCACTCAGTCTCTACTGTTCATCAGTATGGCAGTCTCTAGATTTTGCAATTGTATGTCTACGTTTTTTCTTAATCAGGATATAAGACAGCGTCATCGTTACCTCTGTCACTTGCCCCTCACCTGCGAGTTCAGCATTTGTGAACTGGCTCTGAAGCCACCCATCATCTCTAAGGAGACCTTAGAGCTGTTCTCAGGTTGGTATTTACCTTTCTAAAAATCTTGGTAAGGGGGGAATCTTTCCTATCCCTTCATAGCAGGAAAAATTACAAAAGTAGCAGCTTTATAACTGGCTGCTGACTGCAAGACAGAACAACCTGTACTCACTGCTGTGACGACAACTACACAAAGAATAAAAAGGCTTGACTGCTTGCAAGAGTGTATGTAGTTTGTAAGCATGTCTTGTTACTAATATAACTGAGCACATTGTTCACAAAGCTGGAGGAAACATTGCCAAAGCATTGGTGTGGTTCTTTTATATCCAATGCTGCGTGTTGCTCCTAGATGACATTGAGAAGAGGAAGCGCCTGCGGCAGAAGAAGGCTCGCGATGAGCGGCGTCGGGAACGCAGAATTGAGATAGAGGAAAACAAGAAACAGGGCAAGTGTAAGTTTTGCTCGAGCGTAACTGGTGGGTTCACGGTCATCTTTAGTGCTGAGCTGATTTCTTGAGCTGTGGGATGAATTGTAAGGCCTTTAGTTTGTAGTGTGTACTTAGAAATGGTTCTGAGTGACAAAGTGTTTTTAGGGTGCTAAATGATGTGATTCCGTTCCTGCATACTTATATGTTATTGGAGAGAGAGCATTTGAGGGCACCGTTGTCTCCATCTAGCTCTCAGGATTTTTGACTTCTGTTTTTATAGTAGAAAGTGTAGAAGGTGGGGGAGGGGGGGAGGAGAAGCCTGAAAGCTGCTTCCATCCAGCAGCAGAGCTTGTAAAATAGAGGATGGAAAGAAAATTTCTGAGGTGGCACCTACTAGCATCCTGAAACAACTTGCTTGACAGTCTTCCCCCACATTGTGTACTACTTTAATTGAAACCTCTTTCTAGATCCAGAAGTCCATATTGCTTTAGAGAATCTGCAGCAGTTCCCTGCCTTTACCTCTTGCCATAGAGAAACTACCAGCACTGATCATCAGAGCTTCTGTCTCTCTCCTCTTGGCAGAAGCCCTGTGTTTCAGACAGGTGAGCATCTGGAGAAACTTACTACATCTAGCTCTTGGTCAGTTCTCTGGGGATCTGCTGCTCAGTTCAAGCTAAGGTTTCTTAATACTGACCAATGACTACTTTCTTAGGTGGCCTAAAAGATTGTACTGGAATGACTAACACTGCTAAGGGATTTGCTTTTTCCTGTACTGTAATGACAACGATATCTACACTGTAGTTACTGCATCTTTTAAATCTTTGCTGACACGGAAGAGAATAAAGGGGACAGAGTTGGGGAAAGGCAGAAATGCATGTGTGCCAGGAACACTCCACTGGCATTTCTTCTTTCTTCATTTTCCGCCATGGTGTAGCAAAAACATAGCAAAACATAACTGATAAGCACCCCATTTGTTATCTGGTGATGCATCTCCAAATGTTATATCTTGCAGTTCTGAAAAAACATTAAGTAGAAATTATTAATAAGTGCTGTTTTTGAAGTAAACAAAACTCAGAAATGAAACAAAACAAAAAAAAAAACCATCCCACAATCTTTAATTTAAATATTGAGCAAATTCAGAACTTCCCTCTATGTGATTAAGGGATGGAACCAGTGAGAGAAAATGGAAGATAATAAAATCCTTTATTTCTGTTTCGTATTTATGAGCTGCATAAGTGCCTTTGCTAAAATGCACCTGGCTTTAACCAACTTCTTTTTCTTGGTAGATTCTATTCCAACTCCATTTTCTCCTGCTGCCAGCCAGGCCAGCCCGTCACTCTGTGGGAGTTTAGAAGAAGAGTCTCCATTCCCATCCTTTGCCCAGGTAAGAGACAAGAGTAAATCTTGTCAGAACTACTTGTATCTTAGTGGATGAGTCTGAAAACACAATTGCAATCTGGGATAAATCTGAAGAAGATGTAGGGTTTGGAGGCTGAATGTATTCCTGGGTTTTCTTGCTACTTAGGGCATAAGCAGGATTGTTCTGATGCATGGGATTTAATCAGATCTTACCACTTTTTTGATAGATGTTGAGGGTTGGAAGGGCAAAACCTGAAACGTGGCCCAAACCTGCTCCAAAGACAAAGGGTAAGAAAACTTAATATTACTACATTGGCTTCTTTACTGTGCATCTAAATCTTAAGGACGTTTTGTAGCTTAATGAGAGACACCTGGAGTGGGGGGGGAAGGCATTTGCACTGTGGAAGTCTCACACATCCCTTCTCTTTCTTTCAGATGAGAACACTCTGGCACTGCCTGTGCCAGTGGAGAGCGATGCAGAAAGTGACAGCTCTGACCGCATACCTGTGCCCAGCTTCCAGAATTCCTTCAGCCAAGCTATTGAAGCTGCCCTCCTGAAACTGGACAAACCGTCCACAGCTGATCATTTGTCAGGTGAGGAGGGGAGGCTTCTGAAAATTCTGAAGCAAGAAAAAATGAGTATTTCTCCCTCCGGGAGAAGGAAGAGAAGCAATTTTGGGGATCAAAAATCAGCTGCAGAGCAGGTCTGAAAAGTATCAGGTCGTGGTTTATGAAGCACTTGGTTAGGGCTTCTGGTAGCTTAAAGCAGTTATCTTAGAGGGAGCTTAGAAGATCTCAGTTAGCACTGGTTTCTTGTGTGCTATCCCTGTTCCACAAGAAGAATGACAGTGTCTTTTTCATTCTTCACAGAGGAAAAAGGAGGGAAGAAAAGAAAGAAACAGAAGCAGAAGCTACTGTTCAGCACCTCTGTTGTTCACACAAAGTGATTCTGCTATTCAAGAGAAGTTTCCTCTCCTGGTTTTCTTTTCATTTTGCTTTGTTTTGCTGCTATAGTTTAAGTATTTAAATTTGAACAGACTAAACTTGTTTTTCCAGGGCTTCTAGGGTGTTTCAGGAGGAAACCATGACAGTATATGTTGAAGATTTCTTTTTTTATTCCAGCTTACCAAATTGGTTTATACTGAAACAAAGTTTTGAAAGAAAAAACCCAGAGATTATTCAGCCAAGGCTTCTAGTCTGTACCACATGAGTTCTTTTGGCCTAGTAAGCAGTATGAAAGTGTTTACATCTGAATGGTACTGCCAGAGTGCTGCAATATTGCCTAAGTGAAGAGGCAGAGTCTTTACCTCCCCCAGAAATGCACAGACAGAAGTCTGTCTGATTGTGAGTGCTGTTTCAGTAAAGCTATTAAACTGCTTTCTTTGGAAACTGGTTTCCTCTGCACTGGGGCAAAAGAGCTTTCTGGCTTTCAAGTGTTAGCTGCTATCTGTTCTTCTTCTAAAGAGCAAGAATTCCTTCTGTTCTCCTGGCTTTGAAAGGCTTAAAGCTGAGGTGAGTGTAAAGAACTTGGCTACTTGGCTTTGAAGTGACTGTTGCTGAAACTGTGTATTTCAAAGTGCATGCTGGCACTGTGGTAGAAGGAACTCCTGGCTTATCTCAGTTGTTTAACTCTGTTTTAATGTGGGTTGAATGAGGCTGCTAATTTTTTTTTCTCCTTTTGCCAACCACGGCTGACAAATTCTTTGTAACCTGATGATCATCCAGAGCAAACACTCCACCCTAGGGCTCTTGGTAAATAGGTGAACTACATTTTGACGCTGGCTGCTGTTGAATTGGAGGAACAACTGATAGCTGGAGTGTATAGACTCTTATCCCTCAGCAAGAAACATGGATCTCTTGCACTGGGATAAAGTTCTGTATCTGCTTGGTTCTGGGATGCGAGCTGATTTGCAGTAAGCACCTCGGCTATAACCATGCCTCTTCTGGACCCCTCCTCCCTCTTTCTTTGGGTGGTTGCATTCTGCACTGCTTGTGGTTTGATTTGAAGCTAATGAGTTAAGTGGTGTGGATTTTGTTAAATAAAATGAACTGTAGGTGTAATGTACCAGTCAAGGCCACCAGTCGCAATAAATCATATGCGCACACTTACAATACTGCAGACTTTTTGAGCTCCAAGTTTGTATCACCACAGTGTCACACCACTTTTGGTAACACAAGCAAGTTTAACATCATACTAATGCTACAGATTTCCTTTCAGGAAGCTGCTATGAAGTAACACGTAACATAGTGACAGGTGTCTTCTGTTATATTCAGCCCCACCTGTACCAGGAGTGTTCACATAGCTTTCCAAAAGCTTATGGGCTTCCTTTAAGAAGCAGCCTCTGCCCTCTCTCTCTTCTGTGCTGTGACCAGTTTGAGCAAGGATCCCATGGATTTGAAACTTCTGTTATTAGGTATCCTCACACCACTGATATGTTCACTGGTTTTATTCCTACCTTGAAAAGTCTGTCAGTGTATTGCTGCTTCATGTCAAAAAAAGAGGCTCCTTCTACAGGTGTTTCCTCCAGGCACCCGGGTACCAAAGGGCACAAAAAACTGTCTGCAGCTGTGAGCCAGAAAGAGGGGGGAGACTGGGGAGGACAAGAATGTTTCTATTACTAGGGGAGAACAGAGGAAACACTGGCAAAACATTCTTTGAAAGCAGCTTAATTTCACACTTGGTCACAATTAACTACACTTGAGGGAAAGAGCACAGCTTGTCAAGGGAATATAAAGAAACAAAGTGCCTAGGAGTGGCACACAGCTTGCTGTTAATGCTTCAAATGCACATTGGAAAATTGTTGGTGAGGGCACAGAAAGCCATTAAATAAAAAAAAAAAATTCAAGTATGCAGTTAACTGTTTTCACAATGGTATTGTTTCTTACTTGTAACAGTTATTTTAAGCCATGGAACAGGAGTAACTACTTGAGTGTCTAACCATTATATTGTTTATTATCTCCTACACTGTTACAGTCAAGTTTTCTTTGAGTTGACAAGAAAGAGGAGTTGGAGCTGGTACAACTCACCTCCCTGTCTCACAGGCACTGTAACAAGGGAAGAACGCAGGCAATGAAGGCTCTCCTGTGTGCAGGGGCAGCCTCCATTGGGCAGATCTTCAAGTTGTGTTTTGTTTTCCAATGGATTCAAGAGATGTGAGCAGCAGTGCTACTTTCCTGTAACTGATTGGTGTAACCTCAATAAATATCTAAGCAGTAATTGTACCTATGAGTTTTAAAAGGGGTTGGATGGAGCTGAGCCATGTAGTTCCACCTTGTGTTCCCTGTAGTCCATGCTCCTGTAGACAATCAGTGCTTTTGTGACTTGAAACACCAGACAACCCTTTCAAGAACAGCTGCACTGGAAGATAAGGGCAAAAACTAAAGTTATTGCTCTCTGTACCGAGGGAGCATAACTACATTTCTTTCCCATACCAACTGCCTGAAGCTCACTTCTACCTCAGCACAAAGATCACGTTGAGCTTCGCTCCTTTGGAGCAGTCAAAGGTTTGAATCCTGGAATAAAAGAGGCAAGAAACCTACTTAAATGTAATCTTCTGTGGTTTTTTGAATGCATTTTATTTAAGAACACTTGAAATCTAAGTAGAGCCAGGAAAAGCACCTTTACTTGCTTTACTTAACACAGGAGGATACTTGGTATCGCTTTGATGATAGCCAGGTCCAGAACAAAGGCGAACAAGTGCTGCTCAGTCTGTCTCTGTGCCATCCTCCTCCTCCTCCTCCCCGCTCTGCGCCTGCTCTTCTGTGAGGGAGCAGCTCAGCACCGCCTGCCGCACGCTGCGCCTCTCCTCTGCCAAAAGACACAGCAGAGTTGTGCCGCAGCCCCACGAGCAGAGCCGCGGGGCCGGAGGAACTCACCTTCACTCGTACACTTCTGCAGCAGCAGCAGCAGCTGCCTTCTGTTATACTGGATGAGAAACTTCTGACAGGTTCTGATGGTACCTGCGGGAGCCGCGAGAGCGGCGCGTTTGGAACCGAGCGTTGTTGTAGCACGCGGCACCCGTGCGCAGGCCGCCCTGCCGCCCATTAACGGCACCCCTCCGTCAGCTCAGGTGCCGAGCGGCCGCGCTACGGACGGATCCGTTCCCCCCGCAGGTACCGCACTCACCGCCCACGTGCAGCGTGCGCAGCGCGCAGGGGAAGCGCTGCCCGCGGCTCTCCAGGTGCCGGACGAGCGGCAGCGCCGAGCTCAGCAGGCGCTGGAAGTCCTTGCGGCAGCGCAGCAGCACGGTGCCGGTGTACGCGTTCAGGTACTTCACTGCGGGCCGAACGCAGCCGTCAGCGCCCGCGCCGCCCCGCCGAGCCCCCCGCGGCCCCGCCCCGCTACCTGTGAAGGACACGCAGCAGCAGCCCAGCCCGTAGTCCCCGTGCGCCCGCGCGACGGCGTCCCTGACGGCGAGGCCCACCGCGCGGTCCTCGATGCACTGCCGGCACCGCGGGTCCTCCGAGAGCACCTCGCACAGCACGTACCTGCGGGCGGCAGGCCGCTGTGAGCTGCCGGCGGAGTCGCACCGCTCCGCCACACCGCAGCCTCACCTGTTCTTGAAGCGAACCATGCCGCCGCCGGGCCCCTCCGCGCGGATGATGCTCAGCCAATGAGCGAGCGGCCTCCGCTCACCGCAGCCAATCGCCACGGCGCAGGGGCGGGGAAAGAGGAAGGACTTCCCGTCCTCGCTCAGCCTGCGCGTCGCGTTCCTTCCTCCCTCGGCTGGCTGTGGCTTTGCGCATGCGCGCTGCTTCCCGCGCTTCGCCGATTTCGCCACAGCCGCCGCGCGGGGGCGCTCGAGGCGCGGTGCGAGGCGTCGAGGGGCGTCCGCGCGCCTCACGGCTCATTGGGAGTGGAAACGTCGCCCTTAACGGCCTTAATTGTGGACAAAGCAGTGATAAAGGCAGAGCAATTTCTGTCCTGGGTGTTAAACTCCTGCCCCGGTACACAGGTGCTGCTGGCTGCCGGCTCTGCTGCTCCCGCTCTGTCCTGACTCCCCTCCGTCGCCTTCAGGCAGGCGTTAATGAGAATTTCTCGGGGAGAAAAGCACCAAGTCTGCTGCGAGGCCTTTACCTGTGTGCTGTGAACAGAGGCAATGTGGATATATGCCAGCCTGTGGTGCAGGTAGCAGGCCTTTCCTGCATTGCTCTGTGCTCTGACAGCTGCCTGGGCTCCGTTCTGTGCTCTCACATCTCTGTGTGCTACCAAAGGCATCTCTCTGTGGGGTTCCCGTGTGGTTTTGCTGTGCAGTGAGGAGCCGGCAGCTGTCAGTGCAGTGCTGTTCCCCTCCCTGCCTTCCGACCTGTTCAGATTGCTGTCACTGCTGCCCTCCTCGTTTCCCTGTTCTTGCAGAGGCACAGCTGGGGCTGGACGAGCAGCCCGCCTGAGTGCACTGTGCCCTATAATCCAATAGGACGTGTGCACTGTGCATGCTACAGGCACGGCCCCGTGCATTGTGAAAGCCTCAGTTTTCGGTCCAGAAAGCTGATTAGGAGAGACACAGTGCAAAGAGAGAGCAGTGTGGTGAGAGAGCGCCGTCCTGCTTCATTTGACGTAGGATATGGCCTTCAGTTCCCTGTTGTTGATTTGGATGATGCGCAGAGCAGCCCTGAGCCACCACAGCTCCCTGCAGACAGCGCTCGTGTCAGCACAAGGCGTGCAGATCTGGTCAGGCTTCACGGTTTGCTGAGCTGACAGCCCAGGACTAAAAGATTCTAACACCTCCTCGTTTGTTTTCTTTCCTCCTCGCCCTGTCCTCTGCAAGCTTTGCTGTATTGATTTGTGTCAGTGATTCAAGAAGCAATCATAAGAGACACTGAGTTACATGGCCAAGGTGGGAAAGAACTGTCTTCTGAAATAGGGTTGGAGAGAGAAAAATTTGGAAAATGCAATTTGAGTTGAAGATTGGCTGCAGAGAGCTGCGAAGAAGGAGGATGGGTGTCTCTCCTGCAGACCTAGAGAGACTATATGGCCTTGGAATAGCTTATCAAATAGAAATTATGGAGGTCAGAGTGTGCTAGGACAGGGGCAAGTAACATGCACTCTAGGTGCATTAGAAATGATTTGTAAAGCTTTTTGAGAACTTTGGATAGAAGGCTCTTAATCAGTGTATAAAGAATGATAGCTTCATCAATGATTGTCCTACAAAGGGGTGAGTCCAATAAACTCCTGGGCTGATTTTTTCTGATCTTGGTTCACATAATGATTTTATTTTGAGAATAATACAGTAAAGGCTACAAATGGCTGATATTAATTGATGTGTTTTAGAGAGCAGGACAAAGCATGTTTCAGAGTCCTTTGGGTCTTGTGTTGCTGTCACTGCCAGATGCTTCAGGGGCCTCAGAGGATTCCCTGTTGAGGTTTTCTTCCATCCATATCCCGTGGATCCTGCCCAGATGCTGGGTGGCCATGTGGGCAGTTGTAGATTTGGACTCAAGCTGCTGATGCATATTGGGAGGATGAGTTTTGGGAAGAGGTGCCAAATTCACCCAACCCAGGCGGTGAACCAAATACCTTACACTTATCAGAAATGGCCGAGGGGCTTTTGAACCTGTCAGCCGTGCCCTGCCTGATCATCCTGAAAAGCAGGATGGGGCTAGAAAATGGGGGAGGTTACATCTGCTGTAGGAATGGAGCCCTGGTGTCCTCTGAAGTGGCTCTGTTCTGTTGGCTCCAGATGGGGTTGGCCTTTGAGAGCTGGGCCTTTGGGATCCAGACCTTTGTGTTGGGTTTACACAACATATGTAATCTCCAGATTACGGGCTAAGTCATATTTGTATCGTATGGAATTAATTGTGCTAATAAGCTGCAGTAAACAGTGTGATTGATGTACACCCTTTATTGCATGCAGCCAGCTCTTAGAATTCATAACTTTTTGCTATATTTAAAATCACCAGCATATGCGTTCACTGAAAAGACAGAGATCAGTTAGTGAATCTTCGTCCTTTTTAGGTAGGATGTTTGCATTTTGTAGACAAGGAAGCAGGGGTACAAAAGGAATCAACACATCATTTGTGGTAAATAGCTGTCAGGCTGGAGATGGGGAGCAAGGACACAATGGGAGCAGAGGGAGCCAGCGTGTTAGAGCATACTGTGTTGGAGTCTCAGTCTTGTATGTTGCTCACACATAATGTAGCCAAGTAATTAATTATGTTCTGGAGTAAAATTAGGCGTGCTGGTGCTCCATCCTGGTGATACCACAATTTGATCTTCCTCGCACAGCCAAAGCCATGGCTTCCCTTCCCCCTGGAAGCACTGAGCTGAACTTGCCATCAGGTGTGGTATGAGGGTGACAGCTATGTTTTGTTCCACTGCATGCACATTGCATCCCCAGATAACCCTGTGGTTGAACACAAAACAATCTGCCTAAAATTAAAACTGCTTCTTAAATCCTCTGTGTGATGCTGCCCGAAGCTTTTTGTTCAGTTTATCTTCACAAGGTCACTGACACAGAAGAGTGCATTCTGTAAGCATGTTGGCCTGGAGCCTTTCATGTAGATGCTTTAAAGGAATGAATATTTGGGACGTGTTCTCTCTCACTTTGGTCCCTTCCTTTTTACTCTCATTTTCTGTATTTCCCCTCCTTCCTTTTTAGCTCAGGAGCCCTCAGGTCAATATACTTAGGAATAAAGCTATCCTTTTTTATCACCTTAGCATATAAATGCTAATGCAAATATAATCAACGCATAATGAAAGAATGAAATTTGCAGATTTCTTTGTTGGAACAGTCAAGAACAGGATCATTCTCTTTAGATTAATGGTGACCATGTGCTCTTAATTATCAAATGCAGTAAAACTGCTTCTAAATAGGAAATCTGTGGGCAGCACCCTTTTTGTTTGCAGCAAGCTGCTGCAAGGAGCAAACAGCTGCTGCTGAGCTCTGAGCTCACTGCTTAAGGCAGAACCTGGAGTATCAGTTCAGCTAGGTCAGGATCCTCTTTTCTCTTTCCTTCCTGCCTATGAGAGCAGAGGGAGCAGCAGGCCACAGAAGTTACCGTGTGATCTGCTATGTGAAGAAACCATACGTAAAGCCTCCTTAACAGGGGTGTTAGGATGGATTAATTATTCTTTGTTCTGGTCTCTGAAGATAAAGGGTAATTTCTCTTAATTACGTTTAATTGAAAAAATGCTTCTTCTCAAAGAACCCAATAGCATTAGCAGGATTTTCTCTTCTTGCCACCTATTGGGAGGAGGACGGCGTTCCATAAGTTACAGCAAAGACTGACATCAGCCTCGGAATGGCTCAGAGTTCTACTGGATTTCCAGCCTGCACTCGAGAGCAGTACGTTGAGATAGAGCACATCTCAGAGCATGGCAATGAGACAGGGCTCCTCATCTGTGCTGTGCTGAAAGGCACTGAGGCAGGAGATGCAATCTGCGAGGCAGCTTTCACTGCTGATGCTGAGAGGCTTTTCATCACTAAGTTTCCAGGAACCCGTGGAACAACCGCAGATAAAGGAAAGGGAAAACATTTCAAATAAACAAAAACCCTCCAGTGTGCCTATCTGTGAAGGAAGCTTCTGAAAGAAAAGCAAGAAAAACCTGCAAGTCTTGAGTAACCAGCACCTCAGGTGTGGGTCAGTGCTGTCTGCCAAAGAGACAAGACCGTGATGTTTGAATCAGGTGAAGAAACAAAATGTGTTTTTTACCTGGGTAGAGCAGATCTTTGCTCTTTGCTTTTTCTTTCCCCTGCATCCCCGTGTGCAGGGCAAGCCACAGCCCCATCAGTACATCTGCTTACAGTGCCATATGCCGTACAGCCCTTTTTCTACGTGGCTTTGTGTTGAACTCCAGCAGCCTCGAGCAGCATAGGATCAGAGATGCCTTCTGTAGAGCTCTTGTCTCCCTAATGAGAGAGACAAATGAAAAGCATTTTCCAGCACATCCATCACTCTGCAGCTGCGACGCTGAGCAAGAGGACAGGCATCCCGGAGCAACCTTACATAAGGCGTGCCTGCTGCATGGCTCTGGCAGAGCAGCACGGCGTGCAGGAGGTAAGGCTGGGGCTGTGGCTGGCTGCCGGGGGGCTCAGCTTGTCCTGGTGTCAGCTCGGTGCAAGGAGTGTGTCAGTCACCCACTTAGGGCACGTGGATCTCTGCTCTGCCTGACCCAATCTGCTGGAGGCCTCCGCACCGCTCTGTTCCAGCCTCCATCCATCCAGCTGCCCAGCACACTAATTGAAAGCCCCCCAAAAGCAAAACGGGGTGCAGTATGAAAGTGCAGATTTGAGTGGGGCAAAAATCAATTGCAGCTCTTTGATTTGTGCCATGCTGGCTGGGGGTACTTGCAGTGACCAGTAAGTGCAAACACATTTCTGGGGGCCATGGCTGCTATAGGCTGAAGAAGACAAACAGCATGGGAAGCATCTGACCTATTTTAGGAAGCTTGCTGGAGCTTCTTGATTTTATTCATTTATTTTTTTTTTTAAGGACATGTTTGCACCTTAGTTAAAGGCTGTAAACATTTGTCACTTTTCCTAACTATGCACACTGTGAAGACAGAAACAAACAAAAAATGTCTTGCTGCATTTGCTAGGCTGATCCCACCAGGTGCCCTGAGGGCACTGGAGCTCGAGCTGGCAC